TGGACTTCACAGGAGGAGGTTGTGTCCTTCTGGGAGAGCACTGAGAAGTAGCATTTGGGCTGAGATTTGAAGAACTGGTTATAAAATGTGGCCATGGGGAGAAAGGAGGACATTTTATGTGTGTGTGCTCATCTGGCCACTCCAATCCAAGAATCCTCTGCCGTGTCACTTCCCCAAGGGAAGAAGTGATCATCATCCCTTTGGCGACGTTACCACCCTCTCTACACATGCTCTTGTGCAGCACTTACTACACTTGCATTTATTTTTTTTAATATTTTATATATTTATTTGAGAGAGACAGGAAGCAAGAGAGGGGCAGGGCAGAGGGAGAACAGACTCCCCGCTAAGGAGGGAGCCAGATGCGGAGCTCGATCCCAGGACCCTGGGATCATGACCAAAGCCAAAGGCAGACGCCCAACCGACTGAGCCACCCAGGCACCCCAACACTTGCATTTAATCAAAAAAATTAACCAATTAATATTTAAGTATTTATTTCATATTTATCAGTCTTCTCCAGGAGACTAGAAGCTGCCAGTGGCCAAGATGCTCACTTTTATATCCCCAGGTACTAGCACAGAAACTTGCAGGAATTATTAGTAGTAAATGAATAAATAAATACATCATTTATCTTATATAAATCAAGTAATAATTTTACTCTGTTCAATTCAAAGTATGTTTATGGGAGGATCAGGTGAATCCTGGGCAAGTGAGTGAAGTTCTCTATACGCCAGTCTCCTCATATGTGGACTAGGGTAGTAAGAGTTCATCTATGTCGATTTATTGTTGTTACAAACAAGGGAATGTTTGTAAAGCATTTTTCACTGTGCCTATCCCATGGTAGATGCTCAAAAAATGGTAGTGTCATTATCATTCCCTTTACCCAACCTGGAGAGCTACGTCACTCCACCCAAGATGCTGTTATGCCAAAAACATCAAAATGTATTAAAACACTCCTGACTATATACACATCCTTCCATCCTTCTTCTCAAATTCCTCCCCCAAACCCCAACTGGCAGAATGTGGAATAAGGCTGCTATGCTTTGTCTTCATTGTATGTAGCTGGCCCAAGAACACATTACAAAGGTATTTATCCTAATACCAATCATTTGGCTCCTTTTTCTTCTTCCAACCTCAAGATCATATTTTCTTTTTTTTTCTTTTAAGATTTATTGTTTTATTTTAGAGAGAGAGAAAGCGTGAGTGGGGGGAAGGGCAGAGGGAGGAAATCTTCACACAGACTTCCCGCTGAGCGCAGAGCCAGACATGGGGCTTGATCTCACGCCCCATGAGATCATGACCTGAGCCAAAACCAAGAGTCAGAGGCTTAACCAACTGAGCCACCCAGGGGCCCCAAGATTATATTTTCTAATGCTTTCCAATAGTGAGTTTGTGAGTTTTATTAAAGCATTTAGAATGTATAGAAATCTCACACCTACTGTATCTCATTTTACACTTCCATCAACCTTATTATAACATCTTTCAAAATGAAGTTAGAAAATGAGAAATTGATGAGATAATCTGTCCCTAGCCATACCTAGAAAAAGGGTTAGGGCCAGGTTTCCAAATCCAAGTTTTCTGGCTCTGAACCTGACTTTCTTTAGCTTCTGGTCTAGAAGTAAGTTTCTGGAAATTTCTATAGTAGGAGAATAATGACCTTTCTGGGTGTCTTTGGATCTGGGTATGATGAGGCTCGATGCCTGACTTTGTCTAACCCCCAGGTCTAAGCTCTGGGGAAATCAGATTGTACGTGATAAGCACAGCCTGAGGCTTTGAGATTTTAATTAGCCACTGGCCTAGTATGAATTTCCTGGAGTAACAGTTCGGCTGAATAAAGTCCAATCACCAGGCAACAAACATCATTGGAAAAACTTCCACCTTGAATAGGTGGTAAAATAGCCCATCACATTAGTAGAGAAAAATAAAAATCCTAGATGTGACAGCCGCCAGGGTAGACCAGCTCAGATGATCCGACCATCTGCTGGGCTCTGCTTCCATTGTTTGGTTTGGTTTTTGTTTTTTTTTTTTTCCTGCATCAAATTATATTCAGCTTCAATGTGGTGATGTCATTTCTTTTTTATCCTTTATTAATTATCTCCTTGGGTCACAAAATATAATCGCATGTTTTACATATACACATATGCAAGTGTAATTGTAAGCAGGTTTTTTTTAAGATTCTATTTATTAGAGAGAGAGAGCACAAGCAAGGAGTACAGCAGAGGGAGAGGGAGAAGCAGGCTCTCTGCTGAGCAGGGAGCCTAATGCAGGACTTGATCCCAGGACCCTGGGATCACGACCTGAGCCAAAGGCAGATGCTTAATGACTGAGCCCCCCACGCACCCCATAAGTGTTCTTTACCTTAATAAAGATACTAAATTCTTCAGTGAGGAAATCAATGTGAAAGCTAGTACTTTTCAAGCCATATCTGGGCACCCAATAAATGCTTACTAACCCAGAATCTGCTGAAATTTCTTTCCAGGTGCCTTTCAGGGCTTCATAACATGGCACCAAGGCAAGCTCTCCTCCTAACCCCACCATGGTACTAAATATACCCACAATGCCCAGCTCTTTCGAAGCCCTAGTCCCTTGTCTACCCGATTCTGACGCATCAGAATACCATTAAGTAGAGTTTCAAAGTCAAAATAATCAGACTACTTTTCACCACCAACCCTGGAGAAATAAAACTGCAAACAACTCATTAGAAAGGTTGAGAAAAAGCCATCTTGAGGGCTGTCCAAAATACTATATCACTATTTAACATTTTCTCTGGGATGCTTTCTCTCTAAATATTGCAGGGAAAAAAACTCCTGGTTCTCTACACATGGATATGCATAGGGCCATAGGCTCGAATTTCACACACGGAAGCACTGACAGGTCCCTCTCTGAAAAGAAGGCCCACCAGGCTGATGCTTCCTCGTTTGCATTTTCTCTCCCCAGCTGCCTGAGTAAATGCCATGATTCTAAAATGAAGTCTGTTTTTTTGCCCAAATCCAAAATGTCTCGATTTGCACTCTGGAAATGCTGAGTGCAATTGCCTTACAAATCCGGGGGGCCCGGGGGGTGGGGGGTGGGTGGGAATCCCAGTTAATTGTAGTTGACAAGACGGTAGCATCTCTAATAATGGTAGGCACAGAGCTTGTCGGCACGGTGTCCGTTGCCATAGTTACTTGTAAGACAACTGCAGCTCCAGAAATTAAAGTGTCACGGAACAGAGAGTGACTGCATACCACTCAGCTAAATGATCCCACATGGCACCTTACCTGATTATTCAAGACGGATGCTCTCTTCCTCCAGGTGAAGCTAATAATCGGGCACAGTGGCCTCTGTGAGACCAGTTTTCTCAGGGCTTTTTCTACTAGATCCCAAAAGACTGGTGAAAAGGATCCCTTGATAATTCTTAAGGGCAATTTTTCAGGCTTTGCTTTTCGAACAGTTTAGAAATGGAATGTCACAGTAATTGAGCACTTGAATCACTTTAGACCGTCTAATACCAGCTGCGACCACCGCCAAAGAGGGAAGAGCCGAGTTCGTAGTGACTCGTCCCGCCTCTCCCATAGCAAGCAACCACATCCATGTTTTCCCTTAAATGACTGGATTCCAAACCAATTGCATGGGGAATCAAAGTGTATATGTTCTTACCTAAGTATGTATTTTACCAGCTTAAACAAATGAGACAAATTGATGAATTTGTTTAAACCATTTATACAGGGGCACCTGGGAGGTTCAGTCAGTTATGCGTCTGCCTTTGGCTCAGGTCATGATCCCAGAGTCCTGGGATCGAGTCCCGCATCGGGCTCCCTGCTCAGCAGAGAGGCTGCTTCTCCCCCTCCCTCTGCTGCTCCCCCTGCTTGTGCTCTCTTTTTCTCTCTCTCTGACAAATAAATAAATAAAATATTTAAAAATAAGTTGAACAAGCTGATGGATATGAGCCACCAGTCCAAGAATCTGTTTAAAATTCAGACATTTAATGGTGACAAATAAAAAATCTTATTTGTGATGTTTAAAACAAATAAACAAACAAATAAATACACCATTTATACATGTACATGTGTCCACAATTTAAGGATTCTTGGTAGTGTTTACAGAGCGTCGATGCTCCTTCCATCAGAGGAGAAAATTGAGTCAGAAATAATCCATTTAAGGTTGGCCCAGCTAGTTTCAGATGGCTCACAGAGCTGTTCTCAGCTCCTTGAAGGCTTTTGTAAGGTAAATAGGCATAAGAATCCAATCTCTTTAGAGAAGTAATGTTAACTTTATTATATAGCAAGGAGAGACGGAGTTAACGTCTTAATGATAGAAATAATGCTCTCCCTATGTAAGACTAGACTGTGTTGTGAAAAAGAAACACACACTTTCTGTGGTGGAATATACTAGAAGGCAACGAAATAGACTAGAAAGTTGGAGTACAGTACTCAACCAACATGTGCAGTGCTACCCTAAACCCACTACATTTCCCAAGAGAAAGGGTTAGAGAAAAATGAGAATATGAGAGTATAAAAAAGAATATAAAAAAGAATACTAGATTCCCCACAAAATCCTCCCCCAAAAGGCATGGTGTTTTTGTTTTTTATCCAGTAAAACAAAGTTAATGCAAAGGCACTATTATTCTTTCCTATCTGGTACAAACTTTTGGGGAGAAAAATGCACATCCGCAAGCGTACACACAAATCTACATATGCATGATGTATTCATGAGCATTAGCATATCGCTGCAATTCGGGTCCCAGGATTCAACAAGTCTAATATTTTTGTTTCTGTCAGTATTTCTCAGTCGCCTGGGATAACCTGAAAGTTTCTTGCCTCTTTTCCCTAGTGGTTCCGTGTCAGAGAAGATAAAGGAAAAGGAAATCAAAAGGCCCTAATTGCATCAGCTGACCCTGGAAGGGACAGCAGAGGGATCACAGGCGAAGGCTGCCAACCAGCCCCTTTTCTCACAGAGGAAAATTCCCAGAGCTCGCTGCAGAGTGGACTAAGAGCAGCCAGCACCTGGTGCTCTCCTCTTACCTGAGAGCAGACGAAGCTCTGTAAACAAGACGCCAGAGGGAAGCCCGGGTTCCACCCGCAGGCCGAGCACACCACCTCCGAGCAGGTGGTCCCCCTTGGACAGTGGACGGACAGACAGAGGGCATGAAACATTAATGGGCAAAAGCCCCGCAGGTGCTTCCTAGAACAGCTGTGACACTGGAAGTCAACAGTAAAGCCCTCGTGGCGTGGGTGGGCACCGGCTCGTTCATAATACGGTTGTGGAAATGGAAGCCCCCCGGAAACCCCATGGCTTCTCCAGGTGCCTGGAAGACTTGAGCCAGGGTAGAGGTGTGGTCATCCCCGCCGCAGCTGCTCAGACCCACAGGACTGCCACGACTGAGGATAGAGGCAAAACAAAAGCCAGCTGAGATGTGCTGTAGAGATAATAGAGATTTCAATCTATTTTCCAATAGGACATTCGTTAGGAGCCTCATGAAGGTAAAGACCCTCTGACTTATCTCCTGCTATAATTCCAGGTCCTAGTAGAGGAACTGGCTATTAAAGGTGCTCAAACATTTTATATGAATAAATGAATAAACAAATGAATGAGACATTGCCTACTTTTCCACCATAAAGAAGTTGAATGCGAGGAGCCCCTGGGTGGCTTAGTAGGTGAAGCGTCTGCCTTCCGCTCAGGTTCTGGTCTCAAGGTCCTGGGATCGAGTCCCTCAGTCTGCTTCTCCCTCTCCCTCTGCCACTCCCCCTGCTTGTGAGTGCCTTCTCTCTCTCTCAAATAAATAAATAAAAATTATAAAAAAATTTTTAAAAAGCTGAATGCACATACATGTGGGATGCATGGGAGAGGGGGAGAGTTACATCCTGGAGGAAAATATGATCTTTGTCTATATGTCACTAGTTAGACCATGAACATAGAATACAGTCTGGTGAAAATGTTCGACTAACAAATTTTTTTAGTCTATGGCCATACTACCCTGAACGCACCCAATCTCGTCTATTAACTAGAAATTTTTGAGTCTGTCAACTCCGTGGATAGACTACACATTTAAATATTTTACTATTTAATTCTTATCTTCCCTTTGTGGGTAGGAACCTGAGCCGCCCCTAGGAAAAGGCAAATAGGGACAAATGGCACCAAGATTAACACTCTAGGGGATGGAGTCTTAAGGCACAGTGAAATGAGGGAAGCAGGCAACAACAAGTTTGCCTATATTCCAATTTCAGGAATTTCAGTCTCTTTGGATCTATGGCCCTAAAAGGAGAGAAATTCGTGTGGTTATTCTGGAACAGAGGAGAGGAAACACTGTACACCTTTACCCCTTCCCAAGCAGAAGCTACCGTGAGTGAGGTAGCTTCTACTTCCAGAGCTAAACCTAGTGGCACAGTTTCTTGGAAAGACCTTTTTCAATGCCTGGGCAGCCAGTTCCGTGCGCTCTTGCCTCCACCGCAAACTTCTCTTCTTTACGACAGAGCCTGCACCAAGAATACTTTTCCAGACTCTATTCACACATGAAGAGCAGAAGAGAGACAGCTGGGTGGCTCAGTCTGTTAGGCGTCTGCCCTCAGCTCGGGTTACAATCCCGGGGTCCTGGGATCAAGTCCTGCGTGGGGCTCCTTCCCCAGCGGGGAGCCGGCTTCTCCCTCTCCCTCTGCCTGCCGCTCCCCCTGCTTGTGTTCTCTCTCTCTTTGACAAATAAATAAATATTTTTTTTAAAAAGTGGGGGGGACAAGAAGACAGCACTAAAGTGTCACCACCTAACCTCACCCCCCAGTTTAGGCAGACCAACGTGCTAATCCCCCACATGGGTGCTAATTCATACACATGGATGGCCACCCAGTCCTTCCGCTAGAAAAGCCAGCATGTTTCCGTATGGCTACTGAGCTCAGCCAAGACACTGGACACTTAGTTCTCAGGCAAAATGAGTCATCCGTGGAAGACAATTAAATTCTAGCTCTAGGATTGGGAGTAATGGGAGGCTGACTGGGCCCCAAAGGCCCTTTGTGTTGCCAAGGTTGTGTTTTCCAGCAATCTTCGGCTAAACAGGCTAACAGGGAAGGTTCCTAAGTGCTGGGAGGGAGCATGAAAAGGAAAATAAACAGAATGGAGAGACAGCTGGAGTGTGGATGCCCGAGTTCCTTCTGAACTTTGTACAGGGAGACCTCACGTGTTCTCTCTTCCCGCGGAAGCGGGGACAGACGGACATTGCCCTGCCACACGGCCAGACTGGGAATTCCACTCGCTCTTTGGAAATCCATGGGAATTTTTCTCTCTGGTCCTGAACCCAATACATGAATCTAAAAAGGGATACCCTTGTTTTCCTTTCTTTTCAGTTCCCATTATCAGTTTCGACACTGGAATTTCTTCTAATTTCTCCCCCTCTCTGTTGTTCATAGCTCTGCTTAGCGGCTTAGCCCTCTACCCTGTTCACACCGAAGATGGGAAAAGAATTCTCAGGAGGGAAAAAGTATAACTTTCTCATCACAAAAATAAACTTTTGGCATTTGTCCTTAGGGCTTATCTTAAGTAACATAACACGTTTTTACGCATTTGCTAAGTATTAAATATCAACTTCGTACCCAGCCCTCTGCAGAGGATATCGAGGTGGACAAAGTACAGATCCTGTTGTCCTGGAATCCCGGTGTTATAATAATTTGTTTATGTGCCTTAACGTTTTCATACAGATAGGAGCAAGGCATTGTGGGAATACAGTGGAATAAACCCTTAATTGTCCCTAGAGATATCAAGGAAATCCTCTTGGAAGGGGTGACATTTGAGCTGGCTCTTAAGGGATGAATAGTAATTCTCTATGCAGTCAAAAAAAAGGAAAGAGCTTAGGAGGCTAAAGTGAGATCATCTTAGAGCAAGAGAAGATGAAAAATCACTTTTGTCTTCAGGAGACCGCGTTCAACAGCAGTCTAAGAGATGAGCCTATGAAAGTATGTAGAAGCCAGGGCAAGGAGGGTCTTATGCTCTCTATTTAGAGCCTTGGACCGTGTCTCTAGGAAATTAGAGAAATGGAAGGGTTTCAAGTCACCAAGCAACCTGATTAAATTTGCATATTAAAAAGATTCCTCTAGCTGTGGTGATGGGGGTAACTTGGTCAGGGCAAGACCAGAGGCAGGGGAACTGGTGAGGAGGTACTGAGAAGTCCAGCCAGAGATGGGGAAGGTCTGTAGGGCAGTGGCGTGAGTTTGGAGAAGAGAGCTTCATCTTACTTGTGGTTCAGTTCCCAAGGTAACTGTTTTCCCTAATATTGGGATGTGGGATCAGACAAGAGGATATCTACATCCTAGGGCAAGGATTCTGTGTTTTCTTGGCTTATCTTTATTAAAAATTATCCTGTCCTGAGTCTGAACTAGGCTCTTCCACACCAAGTGAGTGGTGGTGGTGATGGTTTGTCACTGTTGATGATGATGGTGATGACAGTGATGGTGACAACCCATGCAGAATACGAGAATAAACTTCAAGCTATCCTGAATTAAGATTGCACACCAATTATTCTCTCAAAAGGTTTGAGGTTATATCTTCAGAGATAAAGTTACCGTTATGGGTTGAGGCTATTCTTGTCTTCAACTAGAATGCCCCCCAGGTGGAGGAAAGAAGGACAGAGCTATGGGCCTGACATGTACTTGGTAGGGCAAGAATGAGATTTGGCAGTGATAACTCTATACCTCTCTCAGATGCCCTGGGAGTTTGCAGACTTGATGGATTTTCATAAATGGAATTCAACCTCCCTCTACTTCCATTCTGACTGCCAGCTAACCTTTTTTGACCATTTACAATGTGTCACAAACTATTTTAAGCTCTTCATATGCACTATCTCCTATAATCTTTTTAATGATCTAGGGGTAGGTTTTATTACTATCCCCATTTTGCAGAGGTAGAAGCTGAGACACAGAAGCATTGACTAACTTGCTCAAGGTCACACAGCTAGTCATCCATGATTCCCTGCAGGCCTGTTGACCCCGGACCTTTGGCTCTTTTCCTCAACACCAATACCACTGCTCCTCTGTGGGACAGAGGTAGGAGCAGAACTTTTGTACAGTCCATATTCAGATGACAAAGCTGTAGGATGGCCAGCCAAATAAACAACGGTGAAAGTTCAAGATTGCAGAAAGTCAGAGGCACATATTAGCATCAAAGAGAAGGTCATTGCTATGTGGAGAGGGGTCTTCCCCTGGCCACACAGAAATGGCTCCCATGCTGGCAACTGGAATTCTGTGAAAAGTCTGCTATTTAAAGCACTTTGCTGAGAGAGGGAAAAGCAAAAAACTCCTCGAATGAGGCACTCAGAGCTACTGGAAATCCCCAAAGAATCATGAGTGAGATGAGTATTTCTCCACCTCTGCTCTTCCCCCTTATGAGGACATGACGCAAAGTCAAGTTATTGAGGGAGCAGGTAGAGGGAGAGGCAAGTGGTGTGGACAGTGACTAATATGAAAGCAGCAGAAAAGATCAGCTGGGAAGACTGGAAGGAGCAGGAGACAGGGGGCAGGCATCCAGAGGAAGTGGTTTTGTTAAGGCTCGCTAAGAGCAACAAAGGTTCTGGGAAAACTAAGGACGCCGTGGGAAGGTGAGTGACCCAGAACTTACAATATGTGTTTCTTGAGATCAGAAGATGTCTACTGACTGTAACATTTTTCAAATTGGAGCCCTAGCAGATAAACAAGGCTTCAAAATCTCAAAATCTTCATGTTAGTCAAAATATAGCCTGATTCCCTTGAAGGCCATCTTGTCATGGCTTCGAGACTCCTTCGCTCGCCTGGACTTCAAAGCACAGATGTCAGGTTTCCGAACAGGCCAGTCTACCTTCGAAGATTAGAAGAAAAAGCAAGAGCAGAAGAGATGAAAACCACAGTTGGTGTGTTGCAAATGGGAATTGTTTGTGTAAGGCATGGGGCTGTTCTCAGTTCTCTGGGTTGCATGTGAAAATCAAAATGATTACACCAAGTGCAAGAGGCTGACGTGTCCTCCACCAGCCAAACAGGTGGCCTCTGGCTTCCCCACTGCCCTCAGCCTCACTGCAGAAACAGAACTTGAAAAGACGAGAGTTTTCTGAAGTTGTTCCATCTTAGCCCCTGGGGTCGAAGTTGTAGCCAGTGGGAGAAAACTAGTTGGCAGTGTCGTTTTCTTTAATCTGAGCTTTTTTACTTTACTTTATATGGGAAATTCTCTTTAATCTTACAACATAGAGGTTTATTTTTAATCTTTTGAAAATCCCTTAAATTAATATTTGAGCCATAGGACCAGAAATAGAAACATGCTATGTTCAAGAAATGATGGTGGATTTGTCTTGTATTAGCTTGTCTTGTTTTCTTTTGTTTGTTTGGGTTTTTTTGTCCCCCTCCCTTCTGAATCTCCTTCCTTGCAACTTTTA